ATACATATACATATATATATACATATACATACACATACATACATACACATACATACATACATATATATATATACATATATATATAGTCTTTCCTTTTACCAGGACTAAAAGTAGCCAAAATCCCTAAATTAAAGTGAGATTTTAATAATACAAATAAATGATTGGTCATTGATATTCGGCTGCACTCATTACAACTATTAATGAATCCGAGACGATCACTGACTATATATAGGCTACAGCGGGTTTAAATTAGAGGGGTGTTCATTCCGCAATAATAAATGGCTGCAACTCTGTTTAATCGTAGATCATAAATAACGAGCGGCATTTTGTTTCGTAACAGCGCTTTATTAATGATTATTCCGCCGGTTCCACCAACTCCACAACAATTAAATGAAAAAATGTAACCATGTGGCCCATTTATTTTTCTCCCCTTCCCTCTAAAAGCCACTGGGACATAATTACTTAACGCTAGGGCATTACAGTATTAATATTTGATACGCCTCGAGCCGTTCTCATTGGCCAATTGACCGGCATCAAATTTCAATGCACGCCGGTATAGCCTATACGCACATTAAAGCGCATCATGACCGTTTGGACGTGGACCAATAATGAACATTAGGGACTGGAAAACGGCGGCTACGTTAACGAGCTGAAACGCAATAGTGGACTAATGCAGCGCAGGGCGGTGCCTATAGATTTTATTTGGGACGACGCTGTGTTATTTATAATCAGATGGCAATGGAATACAGCCAGAGGTTTCTCTTGAAAAAAAAGAACAATAAATGAATAATAGATGAATATAAATGAAATTATTAGTGGTGTGATGATATTCAATATATTTATGTAATTTCGTTGAAATTGGACATAACTATCTGCAGTGGTAAAACTAAATATATACTTTTGTTATACTTGCTAAATTGTTTGTATGAATTAATATTATGCAAGTATTCAGATTTCCACGTGAAGGTTTGTGGACAGTCAGGCCTGGCAGTAACACTGGCAGTGACATCTTTTCAAACTCAATTATCGAGCGACCATTTCTATCTTAGTGGCTCCAGTGTCCTTATGGGGTTTGCAGGAGAAAACAAAGAAAAAAGAAAAAGATCTCTTGCTTCAAAAGGAGACACATATTGATTTCTCCTCCCTCCAAGCAGCGCACACCCTCCACAGGCCGAATGACCCAAGTGGCCGAGGCTGCCACGGTCCATCAGAGGCTCAGCCTAAACTGTGGAGCCCATATTGTTGTATATTCGTCTGATGGCAGCTTAACAAGTCAGTATGGGACAGATCGTCCAGGTCACAAATAATAGCGATTCACGATATTATCCTGATAAAATAAAAATAGTTAAATTCTAACATGCAGTGGTAATCCCGTATACCTTACATTTCGTTAAGAAACAAATATGTTGTATTGCATCACAGCTCTTTTTTTTTTAAGTAAAAAAAACAAAAAAACAATCCTAAATAAGGTCCTCATAAATCATAAGGTCCTCCAGCATAATTAATGGAGTCTGTTTTGTTATGTGATAATTCCTGTTTTTTTAAAAACAGGCTCTGTTTTTCACTTCTCTACCCGCTTTTTTCAAGTCAGTCATCTAAGGATATTCATGGTTAGGCCTACTCACAGAAATGGAAATTCAACACCTTCAAATTTATTGTATTTTTTTGTAATTTTGTATCATGATCCGTGATAAAATCTTATACATGGTTTCATCCCATATATGTTGGTCTTATGTCTGACAAAACACCTTGGTCACCTTTAAGTAAAAGTCACCACATCTTTCTCTACAACAGGCTAATGGCTATCACTATATGCTCACATGCATGTTATACAGGTTCTTCCAGAGGTTCAACATTTTAAAGAATAATTACAGAAAAAAAATTATATTGGGAATTAAAGCTAAAATAAATAAATTAAAAGTTTTCAAAAAAACATGTAGTTCCATTCCAGTGGATTTTTGTTTTGTTATTTTGTCAAGCGACAATTTCTGGTGCTGAGAAATCAAGACAATGCATAAGGGCCAAAGAAAATTGTAGTTCCTCAAAATGGCCACTTGAGGATGGCTCTCAAAGCGAGTCAATCTCCGTATATTAAAATACAATACTTTACAGCAGAATTACAGCTGAAAAAACGGTTTTGGTCTCTCTTTAATAAAATCACCGTTCATGGCAACTGTAAGGTGGGTCAACTTTTATACCCACCCGTTTAAATGATATTATCGGCTACTTTGAGTGACAGGTGGGTGTCGTCCGAGGTCACTGGGTCAGCCCACCTCAGCTCCACCGAAGAGCCATCTCTTTGCCCCTTCTTAGAGTTAGGCTGAGTCGTCACTGCCAAGATGGAGATGGCTGGACCCTCCCACTTTCAGCTTCACAACTGCTACTTCCATATTTGACACAGACTAGGTTTTTTGTATGCATCTCAAATCTTTTACTTTCGAAATGTGCTTCGCATTGCTCGTCAGACTAGTGTATTTTTTCTTATTGCTGTGGACAACAAACATTGTTAGTTTATTAGACTGACCTAAAGCTGCCAGTCCTGCAATAAATCCATCTGTTCAGTTTGTGTTGCCCACAAAGGTGTTGACTAAACATTATGGTCATCGGTGGCTGTAGTATGTGCTGCTGTTAAACTTTATTGTGTTTTACTAAGAAGCAATATTTCAACTGCCCTTACTATATTATATTAATATTAAAGATATGTCAGTATTACAGTTGCGGCCTCCAAAAGTAGCATAAAGATCATCACTTTAAAACACTTTCAACTAAAACGGAACATCAGATCTTTCACAAACAACAACTTCTCCAAACTAAAAGACCAAAAAAGGTAATTTGTCACTGCTATCCACAACAACTCATTAACGTTTTCTGATCTGAACTTGGATCACACCCTTTGTCAGTCAATACTCAACTGGTTATTAATTAATCAATTACACAAATTAATGATACAAGCATTTTCTGATCTGTCACTGCTAGAGAGGGTTGGCTCAGGCAAAGGGTTAGGGAAGGAAAACTGCAGTCTCATGTCTCAAAGTCAAACTATGCTTTCAGCCGTACTCGACTGTGTTAGTTTCAGCTCGTTGTATATGCAATAAACTGCCAAGTGAGTGTTAGATGATGAATATGGAATCATGCCAATATCATACAATCACAATATCAGAGTTTATCAATACAGTAACTATATTGTTGCAATATCTATAGAAAATGTGAAAACAAAATCAAAATGTAAGTGTAGGGAAGTGGAGAGAGAGAGTCTAGAGCTAAAACTGTATGTATAAAATGATTTGAGACAGACTGGATTAATTAGACAATATTATCATATGTGTATGAACATGAGCAGTATATAATTTTTAAATATCAGCATTATCATCACTGGTATATCACAACACTTATAATCCAACAATCTAACCTTAATGGCAGACGTTATCAAAATTATGAACCGTATTCAGCAATCATTTATATAGAAATGCATTGAAGTGGCAGAGGCATTTTTTAAAATGTAAAGCAGCCCTGAGATATTTGTTTGTGTGCTGATTGAAAGAGTGAGGGGTTGATAGACAACCCTCTAACACGTTAACCTGTTTAGAATATACACAACGACTGAAGGCTGAAATTAAAAGACATTGCCATTAATGCTTTGAGAAGTTTTTAAGAATCACATATGATTAATTTTGAACGAAAGGGGTATTCGGAGAGCGCAG